CCTGCTGCGGCCGCTGGGCGCCGACGTCTGGTGGACGCTGGCCGCCGCGCTGCTGGCGCTCTCGCTGGTGCTGCGCCTCTCGCTGCGGTTCAACAGCGCCAGAGCCGAGGACGACCGGCTGGTGCGCGACATGGGTTGGGGCTCGTGCCTGTTCGCCGTGGCAATGGCTGTTGCGCGCCAGGGCTGGGACAGGACACCACAGTCGCTTGCCGGACGAACTGCAACCATCTTCGGTTGGGCGATGGGCATCCTGATCTACATTAACTACACGGCCAACTTGATGTCATTCCTGGCCATGCACACAGTCAGCAAGCCCATTAGTAGCATACGCGAGTTCGTACAGCAGCCAGACTGGACACTGGCAATGTACACAGGCGTGGACAAGCTGAACGAGTTTAGAACCAGCTCCGACCCCGACGAACGAGAGCTGTATCGACGATCAGTTACCGGTGACAGGTTCGTAGCTCTGAACAGCATGGAAAAGGGCGTTCTACATGCAGTTCAGTCACAACTGATGGTGTTCGCTGACTTCAATACTTTACATTACTTTATTGGCGATGAGGCGTGCAACTACGTGCCGCTGCAGGACATGCATATCAGGTCCATCGCACTCCACATGGTGATTCCAAAAGGAAGGAAGGCTTTCAAGAAAGCCATCAACAACATGCTGCTGAAGTTGTACCAAACCGGCTCCGTGTCGCGACTGATGAACACTATCTGGAAACCTGATAAGGGCATGTGTACCCAACAACACCGCTATGCGGAGTTGTCTATCAACGAGCTGATACCCGTTTTCTGTTTAATGCCTCTTGGAATAGTGGCCAGTATGATCGCACTGCCAATGGAACTGTTCTTACACAAACTGTCACAGACGAGGGGCCACCAGATATGAAGCACATGAACGTTGAGCCTCGAGATGTTCCGTGACCAGCAGCGCTGCTGGCGATGCTGCGTGGCCCACAGGGCCGCGGGAAACTTAACATACGGACCGGACCAGACCACTGTACATATATCGGTCACACCGACTGAGACACACATGGCGAAAGCCGAGAGACCGACCAGGAGACCTGCCGCTCCGTCGCCTCGAGAGCAGATTGCGATACCGACCACAGAATGCAGTTCTTAGGTTGAGGGTGAACTACAGAAGGTGATCTTATACACCTTTTTGCACTCAAAATAGGCATCTTTTCATTCAATTTCGGCGAGTTGCATTCAATTTTAGCGATCTCTCTATTCGAAGCAAATGAGAGATCGCTAAAATTGAATGCAATTCGCCGAAATTGAATGAAAAGATGCCTATTTTGAGTGCAAAAAGGTGTAGATAGACGGGTCATGCATAAGCGTTCTTCGTCTTACCTGAACCACATAGCCTTCCTTCATCATCCTCTGGTTATGCTTGTGCAATGTGCATCTAGCGCTTAGAATCTGGGAAGACTTCAACTTGGCAAGGGTATGCACCATACCTAAAACGATCATCTCTGAATATACGTGGTACTCTATTTCCCTCAACAAGTTTATGAGTTATGATTTCGATGGCCTTCAAAAATAAAAAGGTCAATACATTCAATAGCCACAGCGTGAGTATTGAATCGATGCTCTTCGTTTCCACCACTCCCTTCCGTCAACTTCCGGTCACTCAAACGGTCCACTTCCGTTCACGGAGTGCACCGATTGTGACCTTGATATTCGCAACTCTTTTAACACTCGCCGGCCGAGGGGGGGGGCGTGTGCCGCCCCCCCCCCCATAGGTTTTTTTTCGCGATAGCTCCGAACAGCCGGCGATAGAGAGCTGAAACTTGGCATACCTGACCTTTGATTCAAGTCGGATCTTTTGACACCAACTGCATTTTCGGGTCAGGTCAGGTCACTGACCCATGACGTCATAAGTGAACCTTTGCACTGTCTTCAGATGTCGCAACTTCGCAACACCATCACTGCCAGAGGAGCTTTCACAGGGAAATGAAAGTTGCAGGATGTAGTATCCATTACGAGTCTCACAACTTGTATAGAGCTCAGGGCATTTTCGTGACCTCACCATTATAAGTCAATGGGGAAAAATGAAAACTGCTATTCTGGCGCCGGGAACGATCTCCAACTATCTCAAACACACAAAATCGTGATTTGATGCACTCCTTGCAAGGTTAGATGAGTCACTTTTGGAATGCTTACCTTGCGTGACATCATTTATGACGTCATCAAGGTCAAATTAGTTTGTCGTCAATAACTCCCGATCAAATTGAGCTAGCGAGTCGGGAAAGCCACCAACGGACTCAGGAAGACCTGCCGAATCGAATGATATGCGACATGACCTCCTTCGACCATCTTCGTGACCTGGGGGCGCTGACCTGAATGTGACCTGAGGTCAACCACCTAAGTTGACCTCACCCAAGCAAAAAGGATATCATTCGACGCGCCTGAGCAACTATCATGCATGCATGAGGCAACTACCCTGTCTCTCATGTCGGGGTTAAGAAATCGCCGGTGCCCACTTTGCCTCGGGGGTTGGGGCAAAGTGGCCGGAATGCATTAGATGTAAAGTTTTGCAAATATCTCGAATATGTGAACGCGTTTAGAAATAAAACGAGGTTGAAATGAAAATTGAAAGGCAAATTAATAGGGATCATGTTGACATAGGAAGCACTCTTTCCAAGCTTGAAAACGAAGCGTCGGCATATGTAGAAAGAAACATTAGGGTGACCGCTCTGCTCTGAATCCGGAATCCGCAGAGCGGATTCGACGTGAATAAACGAACTTGAACTTGAGCTCTGCTCCGGTTCCCCTACATAGGCATACTTACCTACCTCGACGCTGCAAATCCGTTGAATTTTTCAGATACACTTGGATGGATGGAATATTGGAATCCGTCATTTTACCTAAAGGTTGTCATTCTGATACAGGTGCAATTCCGGATTCTAGCGACACGCCACAAGATATGCATGCCGAAGGAACCTACTGAGGGTAGAGGGAATGGGCGATCTTTTCGTAATCGTTACTCTTTTTAGGCAGCGTAAGGCATACGGTGCCTCTGGCCCCAGAGAAAGTTTATTTACATGAAGCATGTGCAAGAGAAGGAACAAGCGTTGTTGCGATGGTTTAGTCACATGTTTTCGCAGCTTCGCACCTCTGATAATGACCTTAATAAGGTACTAATGCAATCACCTAAGATATCGCCGGGATAACGTTAACCTTAGCTAGTTTATTCACTTGTTGCAGTGATTGTTCTGCATGTAGGCAGGCATACCACGCTCCTTGTAATAGGTACAGCTGAGATATGCCACGCCGGCACGTTCCATGTCTCGCTGTTGGCAGCAGTGATAATTATTAGCGACCACTCGTATTTACGGCCCACAAACGGACACCTACTCTTGAACAAACTGTGATTGGTGAAGAAGACTCGTGCTAAGTTGAAAACGGCAATCAATGATCACAAGTCTTGCTTTCCAAAAGACAGAGGTTACTTTAACCCTCTACTTTCTACATGTGACATCATCTTATACCTACCTAACGAACGATATTCCATTCCGAACACACCTTGAAATTCAGATTACTTATAACGACGTGCACTCCCCAGCGGGTTTTAAGTAGTGCAGCTATATAATACATTTCAGAAAACGTTTTCGGGAGCTGTCATACAGAGTAAAGACACGTCACTGGGGCCGTCGATAAGCACTCAGCAGGTTTTTGAAGTCACTTATGGCGTTTCCGGACGGTGGCATAGCTCAGGCGCCGCCACTGTCAATGAATGGAGCAGGCTTTGTGCCCGACGTACGACACATCGGCCGTGCGGCAGAACGGGAAAAGTCAATGATGGAAAGTACTTCAGCGATGAGAATCGATATCGGCGCTGTTCCCCGAGCATGTTAGGCGCACCGTGCATTTACCGGGGAAAATAAATACTGAGACTCCTCTCGCGCTTTTACCAAAATGCCAGAGATAACAGACTGAACTTTCAGAAGCAGCCTTTGAATGAAGTCAAGACGAAGAAAGAACACAAGAACAGGACCTTTCAGCAGAATTCACCATCACTACATCTCGCACAGTCCTCGGGTCGTTGCGAAACGACAGGCCTCCAGGACAGTCCTTCGGCAGGCACCTAGTGATGTGTCTCCGCCGATCTGACCAAGTCGCAGTGGTACCGCCCGATTGAGGGGACCATATAGCTCCTTGAGGACCCGCATGGTCCCCGCAGTATCGTCAGCAGCTCTGCTGGGGCCAGACGTCGAGAGACTGAACACGCATCTCCGTTATATCTGGTGGTGCCTCATTGACGAGATTTTGTGCAACAGCAGCTCCACTGCCAGTATGGCGAGACTGGCAACCAGTCCCAGCGGCAAAAGAAAAATGACGGACATAAGATTCTGAATAGACAATTCAGTATAGCCGTTAGATGGAACACACATACTCTGATCAGGCTCTGAAACAGTGTTAATCAGTCGCGACACAGAACCTGTTTGGTAGAGCTTCAGCAGCACTTTGGAGATGGCTTTCTTGAAAGCATTCCTTCCTTTTGGGATCGCCATGTGAAGTGGATCGTACTTGATCGGGGTGTTCTGCAACAGTGGGACGTAGTTGCACGTGTCCTCGCCAAAGAAGTGATACAGAGTGTTAAAGTCAGCAAAGATCATAAGTCTTGGCTGAAATGTTTGAAGAACGACTTTTGTTGCACCATCCAATGATATGAACCTGTCGCCGGTAACCGATTGTCGATACAGCTCTATTTCGTCCGGGTCAGTGCTTGTTCTAAGCTCGTTTAGTTTCTTCTCGCCTGCGTAAATTGCCAAAGTCCAGTCGGGCTGGTCGACAAACTCGCAAACGCTGCTGATGGGTCGGTCGACCCCGGGTTCAGCCAGAAATGACATCAAGTTGGCCGTGTAGTTGATGTAGATCAGGATGCCCATCATCCAGCCGAAGATGGTAGCAGTGCGGCCGGCCAGCGACTGAGGTGTCCTGACCCAGCCCTGGCGTACAACTGCCATAGCCACGGCGAACAGGCACGAGCCTCAACCCATGTCGCGCACCAGCCGGCCGTCCTCGGCTCTGGCACTGTTGAACCGCAGCGAGAGGCGCAGCACCAGCGAGAGCGCCAGCAGCGCGGCGGCCAGCGTCCACCAGACGTCGGCGCCCAGCGGCCGAAGCAGGCTCGCGAACATCGCTGGAGACAAGAGCGGTGCCCCCGCCGTGTCGCGCCGAACAAAAAATGTGGGGCTCCAGGAATCCATGGGAACACCATCCAGAAAATCGACCACGGCAGCGCGATCAGGATTATAGGCCAGACGGGTGAGCGCTAAGTCGGCGTGCCCGTAGACCAGGTCTCCAATCACCCCTGTCCAGGTGTCGTTGTCATCCAGTAGGCCGAACCCGTCGGTGAGAAGAGTCGCCATCTCATAGCTGAGGCCCAGTTCTTCGGCGACCATTTACCACAGCTGGAACAGGTATCCGGTGTACGCGACAGAACCGTCCGGACGATGTTCTATGGAGATGTAGGGTGATTCGTTGATCGCGACGACTCGCAAGGGCCGGTCCAGCATCCCGACGGTCCATTCAGGTCCAGGACCGGTGGACCAGCCCGGTCCCAGCAGAGTCAGACCTCCACGACGTTCCTCCATTGGCGCAGCACTGGCGGTGGAGTTGCTAGCACCTCAGGCGCGGCTGGAACATTGACTGCCACATCGAACGGACCTAGATCCTGCCGAGTGGGTCGATGGCACCGTTTAAAGGTTTTCACCTTTCAGCCTTTGACCAAAATGGAAGGTAAGCCAGTTCGTTTTGTGGGACACTTACTGCGCATTCAGCAGAAACTTTCCAATGCGCTTTTGGACAAACAACAAACTGCAGAAAACAGTGCTTCATGTCGATCGTCAATCGTCATCTTGTCGGCTAGATTCTGTGCCCGAGTAGTTCCACTATCAACAATGCCAGGCTGGCCACTATGCCGAGGGGAATCAGGCAGAAAACAGGCATCAGCTCTCGGACAGACAACTCTACATAGCGGTTAGGTGGATCACAAATACTCTGCTGAGGCTTCGAAACAGAGTTTTTCAGTCGCGACACAGCGCCTGTTTGGTACAACTTGAACAGAACTTTGGTAATTGCCTTCTTGAGAGCTCTTCTTCCTTTTGCGATCGCTATGTAGAGTGGGACGGGCTTGATCGGTGTGTCCTGCAGCGGGACGTAGTAGCACGCGTCTTCACCAAGGAAGTGGTAGAGAGCCTTAAAGTCAGCAAACGCCATAAGCCTAGGTTCCATTGTTTGCAGCACGCCTTTTGCTACAGTATCAAGTGCTACGAAGCGGTCGCCGGTGACGGATCGTCGATACAGCTCCCGTTCGTCGGGGTCAGAGCTGTTTCTCAGCTCGTTCAGCTTATGCACGCCTGTGTACATTGCCAGCGTCCAGTCGGGCTGCTGGACAAACTCCTTTACGCTGCTGATGGGTCGGTCGACCCTTGGCTCCGTCAGAATCGACACCAGGTTGGCGGTGTAGGTGCTGTAAATCAGGACACCCATCACCCAGCCAACGGCGGTGACTGTGCGACCGGCCAGCGACTTCGGCGTTCTGTCCCAGCCCTGGCGCAAAATAATCGTTGCTGCGGCGACCAGACACGAGCCCCAGCCCATGTTGCGCACCTGCCGGCCGTCCTCGACTCTGGCGCTGTTGAACCGCAGCGTTAGGCGCAGCACCAGCGAGAACGCCAGCAGTGTGGCGGCCAGCGTCCACCAGACGTCGGCGCCCAGCGGCCGAAGCAGGCCAGCGAACATCGCTGGAGACAGGCGCAGCGTCACCGCCGTGTCGCGCCGCACCATGAACGCGAGTGTTTCAGACGCCAATGGCGTTCTATCCAGAAAGTCCACAACGCTGACCCGACCAGGCGTGACAGTCAGCATGTTCAGCGCCAAGTCGGCGCGTCCATAAGCCAGGTCTCCCACCACGCCAGTCCAGGTGCCGTTGGAACTTAGACTGCCGTAGCCGTCGGTGGGCGGGGTCACCATCCGGTACCGAAGACCCAGCTCTTCGGCGACGATCTGCCACAGCTGAATCAGGTACCCGCTGTATGCGACCGAGCCGTCCGGACGATGCTCTACGGAGATAAAAGGCATGTCGTTGATGGCGACGACTCGCAGTGGCCGGTCCGGCGTCCCGGCGGACCATTCAGGTCCCGGACCGGTGGACCAGCTTGGTCCCAGCAGAGTTAGACCTCCACGACGTTCCTCCATCGCAGTTCGAGGATCGACTGCAACATCGACCAGACCAGACCCTGCCGAATGGGTCGATGGCACCGCAAACAGGTTAACAGCTTTTCGGTTGGCTGCCTTCGACCGCGTCGACGCCATTTGTCATGTGGTGTCTTCGCCACTTGGAACATATTGTGGATGGCACACCAGAATGCCCCTGTCCTGGGCTAACATGGACATGGACAACACAGCAGTGGAAGTTGTGCTAAGCTAAGTGGATTAAGTTTCCTTCCTTATTGGTGACCTCAGCCTTGTCTGGTGTAGACCGTCGATCGTTTTCGACGGAAAATGTTTGGCCCTTGCTTTCAATTTCTATTGATAAGTGCATACCTTAGAAGTGTGCACACCCCGCTGCACTGTTGTTCTATGACGGATGAATCAATGCAGAGACGTGATCCCATCACCGAAAACGACTTTTAGAAGATATGACCGGAACAGCAAGTGAGCGCCCTGTAAACTGAACCAATCTGATCACCTAAGCAAGTAATGTGCCCTTTTGATGTCGCGGAGATAGTTGCTGAAGTATTTGCAGCGATGGCCGGATGACACCACCCTGGAAAGGCGACCGCCGACCTCGAATCTTGATGTCAGCCTGACTTCGTACATTTTTTACTGACAAAGATGACAACTGGCAAATAACGAAACGAACACTTAACCATGGCAGAACACAAGTACGTCATATCTATGTTCGCTGCTGAAAGTGTCTGAGAAGGAAAGGTCACGGATGCGATAGCTGACTAGTAGCAAGATCCAAGAAGAAGTTGGTTCAGTCGTCACCTGTGGCATTTGTGGCGGGAAACGCAGCAGAACCATTGCCGCCAGCAGACGTCAGAAACTGCATCATGATGACCATGTAGGTGACGACGGTGGAGAGGACACCGAGCAGGGTGGAGCGTCGCAGCCGGAACAAGCCCAGGTCGCCGACCGTCTCAAGGTCACGGCCGGCCACCAGCAGCATCACGTCCAGCTGGTGACGGCCCTCCCCCCAGCGGCGACTCTCCGGCAGCAGCAGCAGTAGCAGATCGCGGCCGGCAGCCAGCCGAGACAGCAGCCGCTCACTGGCCTCGCACGGGCCGATCAGTGACACACAGGCGGCGCAGGCGTAGCATGTGATCGCCAGATAGACTATCACCGACGGGCTGAGGATGAGCCTGACGAAGAACTCCACGCTGATGATGAGGCAGACGAGGATGAGAATGCCGTAGAGCATGACGGGCACCATCTCGACGCTGGAGGCGGACGTCAGACGGGCCAGACAGTCAGAGAGGAGTCGCTGGAAGCGCGCCAGCCGCCCCAACCCCGGCCGGAGGTTCTGGGCATCCTCGGACAGCGGTAACATCGCACGCAGTCCGGCGTTTAAAGTGTCCAGGCAATGTTCCAGCATCTTACAGATGGCGATAAACTTCATCACGCAGGTGAAGAACGCCAACGACGGGATGAAGCTGCCAAAGGCCAGAGCCAGCGCCAGAGCGCAAGTGGTCGCCGAGTGCGAGCACGCGTCGATGACTCCCCTATCCACGGAGATTGCCGCTGCCGTGGCTGAGAACCAGAGGAACACCAGCGCACAGGTCATACATAAGGAGATGAAGGTCGACTTCCGGCTGCCGAGATGTTCATCCAGCAGGTCCTTCTCCCTGGCCAGTTCGCGCAGCTGATGGAGAAGCGCGGCGTAGCGGCGTCTCCCGACAGCGAAGGTGGCCGTCAGGGAGGCCCACTGAACGGCCACCAGAGTGCCGAACACGTGAGACAGGACGGTGGCGCGGATCCAGTGCTGGCCCTGGCCGAGCAGCGTCCAGCCGAGCCTGAGCAAGATGTAGACGTTCTGCATGGTGATTGCGGTGACGAGGATGTACAGCAGGAGGGCTGTCACCAAGGAGCAGCGGCCGGGCCGCGCTGTCGCGCCCACCATCCGCAGCAGACGCGTCATACGGCGCACGGAGCGTGCGGCAGGACCGTCCCGCTGCTGACCGGCCGACCAGCCGGAGGTAGGGGACCGGACGGGAGCTACCTGCGAGGGCGCCATGTCCAGTGTTCAGCCAGACCACCTCTGCCGGCCTACTCACCAGCACTGGCGTGTGGTCGAGACGTCGGCCAAAGGACCGCGGCTGTTGCCACGGTACTGACTACTGGCGACAATAAATGCTTCCTAACGAGCTAGAGCTGCAGTTGCTCAATGCGAATACGCCACATCATTGATAATGATCAACTATTCAGGATCACCTACGTAGCATCAATATATCCACGACCACGGGGCATTGGGTCTAACGACGTCAACTAGGGCATGGTATCCATCAATGGACGGTTTAAGCTTGTGCCCATCCTTGATGAGCCGTGAGGACAAAGTGCCATACGTTCGGCATCATGGACATGGATGGATGATTGTCGTCAATTCACTTAGCTCCTTTCGCGCATTTTACCTTTCAGTTATTCAGGCACGACGATAGGTAGGTACTAGACTAGGCACATGTGCGAACGAGGGCACAAGGGCCACCAGTGCACAAGCCATTGCAGCATTTTGGACTGACGATATCGGCATAACTGTGGCCAATGGCTACGGCCTACGAGAACATCAATAAGCTAATAATTGGATAGCCAGTGCACAGTGTGGCCGAACACCAGTTTAGCGCGAATTTAACCCCAGTGCCGCTAGGATCCACTGAAAATGGTTCTCTGGCTCCAAAACTGACATTTACCCCTCGCCGGACCTATTGGTTTTCAAAATACGCGCCGGCCGAAGGGGGGGGGGGGGGTACGACCCCCGTCGCTGTTTCGCCCCTGATGAAGCTAGAGCCTCGCGGAAAAAAACGAGCGTGTGTGCCGTTACGAGACGCAGCAACTGGTATCCGATTTTAAGGTCTCAGGCTAACCTGTGACCTCTGAGTTCAGGTCAAGTGGCCCAAGGCACGGATTCGTTTTTTTATTAATAACTTCGCGAAAAAATGCCGCAGAGCCGCAATTTTGGCATCATCGTGTTCGCCTCGCTCAGGTGCGTCGAATGGTATACTTTTTGTTCGGCTGAAGTCAACTTAAGGTGTTGACCTCGGGTCAAGGTCAGGAATTAGAGCCCCCCAGATCACGAAGTTGGTCGAAGGAGGTCATGTTGCATATCATTCGATTCGGCAGGCCTTCCTGAGTCCATTGGTGGCTTTCCCGACTCGCTAGCTCAATTTGATCGGGAGTTATTGACGAAAAACTCTTATTACCCTAGTGACGTCATAAATGACGTCACGTAAGGCCAATAATGCAAAAGTGAAGCATCGGACCTTGCAAGGGGTGCATGAAATCACGATTCCGTGTGCTTGAGATAGTTAATTAGGCTGGAGCCTGTTCGGCCGCGCCGCCCCCGACCTTGGTCAGGTCACGCCGGGCGGCCGACTAGACATGTTCAAAGCTGAATTGACGGCAAATAGGCAAATAGTGGCAGCTTAAACTTGCTCGCTTATGTTCAGAAATGTGCGGGGAGTTCAGCCATGCCCTATTCGTCATATCCATTTTTATCCATTTTGACATTTTCCAACTTCTTTATGAAATGCTATCGTGAGAACGATACACATGCAGGGCTCCTGTTCTAACTCATTAAACTCAGAAACCATTCATTGAAAAGCTACCGTGATAGCAGAAACAGCTTCATCATGAATTGTGCTATCCGGTGATATGCTATTTTCTCATATATCTTCTCGAAGCTTCCGTAAAATTTACATTGAAAACTGGACATATTTCTCAGCACCATAGCCCGATTTCAGGAACCGGAGCGTGGGTCTACTTTCGGTAGGGATATAAGTCCTCAAATGATAAAGTGGCTTAAAAATAAGGTTCTATCCGATAGCTTCGGACAATTTCCTACCCATTGATAGGTATAAATAACAGTTAATCCAAAGTCGGGTTTTTGATTAAATTCGCGCTAATCTGGTATTCGGCAAGACTGTGCAGTGGCCACCGCGCCGGGTCCGATGATAAAAAATTCCTGCTTGTCAGTACCTGCAGAATAATGTTGGAAAATGAGCAATGATGATACATAACTGTCATGTTCATTACAAATTATCGAACGTCTTCAACAGACGGAGGGATTCTACGACACAAAACGACGAAACCGGATCAATTCAACGGAACCGTGTGCCTCAGCACAAATATCAGCAACCACGACAGCCGCTCAATATTCAACTGCGGTAGTAAATGACATGTATTCGACACGGACATCGCTGGTTCGAGTTCGCACACTCATTGCAAATTTAGCACTTCTCAAGCAACGTCAAATTCCAAAAATGGACAAACGATTCACAGTATTAATTGAGGTGATGGATAAAAACGACTTCGCTGCTTCAAAGCCAACAATGCGCGTCTGCGTATACCAATTGTTCAACTGCAGAGTGCCAAAAACGTGCAATTGACAGAACCAGCATGAACACTGTGGGGATTCCCGACCGACGGCACGTGCGATGTGCATGAAACCGATACGGAACTATAACTGGGTGCTGAATGTTGATGGAGACAATCTAACCAATATAATTGTACAAAGAGCTCATCCAATATTTGATTCCTTTTCACCTGTCTCGCATCGCACGCCCTACGGCATGACACCAAATCATCAACATCCAGTGGTTCACGAATTTCCAGCCATCATTCACTAGAGACAGTGTACTATTGATCTACAGCTCTACAACCAGTAGTGTGGACGCCGTGAACACACCCCTAGCTGTCAGAACGACAGCTGTCAGCTGTCAGTACGACCCAGCTGTCAGTACGACTTAGCTGTCAGATTCAGACCGAGGCACCCCGGCCTAACCGGGTAGAGGTGAGAATCAGGGTATTAATCGCATCCAAACTACTGGTCGTGTAACTTTTTAGACCAATGGTACACATCAGTTCCCTGTGTATAATTCAGCGAACGTAGACGAATATAACACTTGGCGTAGACAAGAACGTACCAAAAAGCGTGATTTTAAAAGAAATTTAGGCAAAATACCTGTAACTCAAGCGAACGGTTAAAAATTATCATGCAAAAAAATGAGTCGATTGATGAGGTATGAACAATATGAATACACTACCCTAACTCGAATTACCCAGCTCTACAACACACCCCTCCCCTCCCCCCGGCCCCAACCCTCACCCCAAAGCACACACATGAAAAACGGCCCTCACTTTTACACAGCGCAACGACACTCATTCATCAGCGACGCTCTCTTCCAGGTCCCTGTCTCGCTTCTTTTTGCTGTCGCAAAATCCAATCTTGGTTTTTCCGAACGAATTTGGCCCGGCGGACGTCGGCGTTTCCCTGTAGACAAATATCGGTGTGTTTGTTCGTTTGTTTGTTTCCTTTGTTTGTTTGTTTGTTTGTTTGTTTGTTTGGTTGGTTGGTTGGTTAGGCTCATCCGGTCTAGCGAGACCATTTCAGAGCCGAGAGGATCATAGGAATTAGTGGCAGGCATTGGTCTGGACAGGCACCCTTATGTCTCGTCGGGGCTGAGCCCATCCAGTGGACAGGCCACCCAGCCCTTATAGTCACCTATGGGCCTGCATCTAGACCGGAGCTATCCGCATTGGACAAAGTTGTGACTATCGCGAGGATGGAAACGACGGAACGGAGGAAATATCGGTGTGATGTTGAGGAACACTGTGGTATCAGATCAGATGACTCATTCCACCGTAGTCAGTAGTGTCACCTGGAAACAGGGCCTCGTCTAAGGAATTTTCACTGGGGGGGCAGAGACTGAAGGAGCCAAACCTAGGGTACCCCCAAATCCTGTTTTCTCACCGGATTTAGGCCACTTGTTTTTCGTCACAGCCCTGAGAACATGATTTTTTTAACAAAAGAAAACAAAACAAAAACCAAAATAGGCGATCTGCGTCATACCGTAGCCCTCGCCCGTATGCATAGCAGAAGGGTGCGGGGGGAGGGTCGAACGGACTTCTCTCGGTTTTTCGCAAATAAGTCGCGCAAAAAGCGACCGATCGCGACACAACTTTCAGTACCCTCGCGTTTATCAATTTCACACCAACTCTGAAACTTTCATGACCTTGACCCAAATGACCTTTGACCTGTGAGTCCAGGTCGAGACCAGGTTTATCCGGAATCGCAATTCGGCCTACGTCGGCTCGCATTAGCCGAGCGTTTGCAGTCTTTTCGTGCCTCGTGGTTTCAAGCGTTTAAACATGGAATATGATGTAGCTCCCATGCATTAGGGTGGGTGTCAAGGTCTCCGAAAGGTCAGGTCAGGTCATTGACCTTTGATGACCTCGGTTCACTTTGTCGAGTTTAACACGCTTTTAGACTAGTTTTTGGAGCTGATTTCGAATTTAGCAGCCATTTGAACAATTACGAAGAAGTTTTGGTGCCTTCGCAACATGTTACGAAGCTGTCAGAGGTGTTTGCCACCTACTACGAATACCCGGCAAAATTATTACTGGTTGATCTGACCTGATCTGACCCGACCTGGCCTTAATGCATGGAGACATATCTATTATCATAACTAACATGGTATTCGTGATCAGCACCCCGAAAAAACCCCATAACAGCCACCCTTTACGACGTTCTAACAGGTCCCGATTTCCCCGACTTTTGGGTCATTGACCTGACCTGGAAGGTCAACTGATGACTAAGGATCTTGAAATTGGGTATCATCGTTTTCCTCTCGTCACGGGCAACACGGTCGTTTGTTCCGCGAAGTTCTAGCTCGACCAGGGGCGAAACGGCAAGGGGGTCCAACGGACCCCCCCCCCCCTATACGTTCGCGACTGGAAAAACGCCAATACCGCCGAGGGTTAACATTAGTGTGCTACCCCTTCACATTGACCCACCAGACAGTGATAAACATAGGTACTATCCGTGTTGGGCGTTTCATTGAGCTTGTATGTTTGTGGGGGGGGGGGAGGCAAACACGAGCTGGGTTGCTGGCCAGCTGCCATTTTATGATTTGCTACTCGGCGCTCTCTGGGCCCTGTTTCACGGCATGCCCCTTCACTTCGCTTCAGCGCGCTTCACTGAAGCGGTGAGGTAAACGGAACCTCCGATGCTAAGGTATGACCTCATCACAAAACAACAGCGTGTTGTATTATATTGCTTGCAGTATTGCTTCGCATTGAGATATGTCGCGGAATACAAATATAAAATGTAACAGCCATATTTCTGATTTCAATGCGAAACAATACCTACTGCAAGCAATATAATACAGCGTGCTGGCGTTTAGTGATGACGTCTTACCTTATTAGCATCGGAGGTTCCGTTTAACTCGCCGCTTCAGTGAAGCGCGCCGAAGCGGAGTGAAGCGGCGTGCCGTGAAACAGGGCACAGCTCTGAAAATCACAAAACCCTATCTTTTCCCGTAGCCATGAACACTGAACAGTTATTGAACAAATCATTTAATGTTTCTCGTTAAATCAATGTAAGATTCCTAACAAAAACGTATTGCGGAGAAGGTAATTTTGTGAGAAGTTAACGTTTTGACTGGGGGGCAAATGTTGGCCACTGGGGGGGCAATCCGCTCCACTGGGGAGGCAATTGCCCCCCCCCCCCCCCCCCAGTTAACATGTTAGACGAGGCCCTGCCTGGAAATGCCTAGCTTGGCTTTGGCCCTGGAGAACAGACGGTATTTACTGCACATCTTATAAACCAAGCCGGAGCCGGCAACATGACATCACACAGTGCAAGGAACAAGAAGTGAGCGGTTAGATTCCAGCCCTAGATTCCAGATTCGCTTCAGGGCCCACCGATTATTGATGCCATTTGGTGCCGAGTGCCGACACTCCTGATTCATGGGGATCTCTAGTTTTAACAAATGACAAAGGCTTCGTATTTTCCCATAAGTATTACGTTGCCGATTCGCAGTAGCTGAGAACAAATGAGCATCATAAATTCATAATCATTCAAAAGCTGCCAGGTAATGAGCAAAGGCCCCTCAGCCAAACCGTAACACCCGTACGGTGAGTCGCGGCCGGCGACGCGGCCTTACCTGCCGATGTTCTTCATCCTCATTTTGGCCTCTGGCGGCATCTCTTCCTCTTCATCGTCACTGTCGCCATCGCCGAACGCGCGCGCCGCTAGCAGCGACTTGGGCTTCAGCAGCGCCGCCGGCGCCGGCCCGCTCGATGGCGGCTTCTGCGCGCACAAAGGATATGGTAAATACAGATGGCGAGCATAAGACAATGCGGGATCGGCGAGCGTGCATGTGTGTAGTTATACAAAGGCTCCTGGAAACAAACACTCGACCAATACTTACCAGCGATTTTGTTTTGAATTACCAATGTTGCAAACATCTATTTCAAATACCCGCGAATATTTTAACTCAAGTTAATTTTATCATGTTAAATGTTAATACCAAGAATGCATTGTTCATTGGCGGTTAGGTACTTCAAAGTTCAAAATGCACCTATCTATAAACTGAGCACAGCAGCAATCAACCACCACAGGCAAATTATATTCTATGGTGCCAGGCAGCCACACGCTGCTAAAACTACTCACACTGCCGAGTTTCATGGAGATGGCTTTGACCGGCGGCTTGGGCGGCGGAACAGCGCCCGTTGCCGGCTTCTTGGGGCCCAGGCTCATTGATATTTTCGGCGGCGGCGCCGGGGCATCAGCGTCCGTCCGCCGCGCCTTGCTCGACGCCTCTCGATCGTCTGCCGCTGACCGCTTGGGAGCCACGCCGCCTCCTGACAGCAGAAACTGGCGGTGCTGAGACTAGGCAAGTAGCTGTGCGCCGCGTGTGCCCTCTCCAGTGCGCCCTGGTGTCTTCCATGTGTGTCACATGAGGCTAGATACTAATGGTATGTAAAATGGCTGCAGCTGTCAGCTGGATCAAAGTTGAGTTGGTGTGACATTAGTAGTGCCCCTAATGAACAGAAGATGCTGAGACAGTGACTGTTCATTGTCATACCTGTAGGGTTCTTGACAGACTGGGACATTTTCACCTATCAAGCTGGCCCTGGAAATAAGTGCATTACTGTCAGAGTCACTCAGGCATACATCATGTCACATTAAGTGTGGCATTGCTAAGTCAGCTATTTCCTCATCTGATTATTAATCTAATCCAATAAATAAACATAAAATCAGGCTAAGGGCGCAATAGTAAGAGATAGAAAAGGGTTGTTTACTAAACCTTAGATAAAACATCAGATAAAATTGGAAAATAACCTAATGGGATCAAACTCTCAGCCACCTTCACTTCACCAAGGTAGGGATCGAGGGATTGAGCAGAACTAGCTATACCTATTGTCTTAAGCTCAGTATCTTGGGCTATGTATCTAAGCATCATGTCGATGCACATCGTAAATGTTGCCTTTTTATGCTTGATACTGGATACCTACTGAGGTAATTTGGAGTTATCAGAGGTAATTTGTCTTAAACTTCAGAAATAGGAGCAAATGGCCCTTTCCCTTCCCTAAATATTCCCTTCCCTTTTCACTACATCTGGTTTTCTCTGAAAATGATAAACCGAAAATTCAGTACCTAGTTGTTCTGGCAAAACTTGTTAGCAACTATAATCAGCAATTTAAATTAAAACAGCTAAATAGTGCATATGCTAGCCTTTCTGAAATAAATAATGCAAGGCATGTTGTGCTGCCCGCAACGCCAAAAGGGCAAAAAGTCACATTTCTGGACTTGTCAGTGATGAAAAGCACATGGTTAGTGAGGCAGCAAATCTACAGCAAGGCACTGGTGGAAAAGCACATGTCATATGATTATCTCTTGCTAATATTTAGAAGTTCTCAGATTTTAACCTAAACAGTCATCAGGTAAGTCAAGCCAGGTCAGGTTCAAGCAAGCAAGAATTTGGCAAGAACGATCAATGTATTTAGGGCCTTGGATCATACATTCAAATACTCATGCAGCTAGATTCGCATCTCAACTTTCATTCAGATTCGACCAAATTTTGACAGTAACAACCAACACACGACAATAACAACAAACACACGACACTTACGTCCCAACTCTCTTACTTGTTGTACTTGTTGGGTTAGGGCGCATAGCCTCGTTGGGCTCAAGCGTCCGTAGTTGTTGTCATCAGTGCGCCATTCTTGTCTCGATCGAGTAGATGTTGCAATCGGTTGCAGCCAGATTGTGCAGAGGGAAACTAAGCAGATGAAGGAAAATGATAGGTTTAGCATGGGATGGCATGGGGATGTATGCGCGGGCTTCGGATATGTCCAGGCCAGTGCTGCCAGATGGGGAAGGCTGTAATCCTCCAGATCAGTTACAAAAATCCTCCAGATTCCTCCAAATCCTATTGGTAGATATAGAAAGGCGTTCTTGGACGCTGCGGGGGGCAATACCCCCAAAAAAGTTTCACCAAATTCTAAAAACTCATCGGATTTCGAATCCTTTCGCACTGCTGTGCAGTTTAAAAGATACTTTTTCTTATAAAAGTTGTTTAGTTTTCGTTTTATCTTTAAAAAAACGAAAATTTTCGTCGATTTCGGGCGTTGCAGGGGTACCGGGGGCATTTGCCCCAAATGTCCCCCTTAGATCCGCCCGTAGTTTGGTACCCTCGTAGATATAGCTACAGACTGAGACATTCTGCAGTCTCACGGTGATAAAGGACGTGATATATCCTAACGGGTAGGGTGACGCTGGGCAGGAAAATGCCTTTTTAGTCTTGAATGTGTTATATTTTTCCATGAAATTGAATATAATAATCGGGCAACAAATCCTCCAGATTTTCCTCCAGAATCAAAAATCCTCCAAAAGCGAAATTTGTCCGCAAATAGAGTTCAAAATCCTCCAGATTTGCGGAAATCCTCCAAATCTGGCAGCACTGGTCCAGGCAGGAAATGTCCGGTGAAGTATATTAGTAACGGTTAGTTTCTAACATATAACTGATTAAAAACTTAAAAATAGAAACAAAAAGGATGGTTTCTGGTTATGAGTCATTCAATCATAACGCTCTTGACCTCGCATCTGTCCAGCGAGCCATTCAGTTCAAAAGGATCTTCAGGCACGAGTCTGCTCTTGGTACCTCACTCAGTTATCAACTTGCGTTGGAGGGTTCATGTCTCATGATCATACCGATCATAACGAGCCTCAACTTCGGAACTATGCGACTACTTCTACAAAAGAAGGGACCGGATGGTACAAAAAAGATTAACGAAGGTATACATCCAAGAGAAATCTAGAAAAAGAAACTACAGTAGCAAACCAGTACAGGCTGCTCTTCATTCATCCACTAACTGCATCCATCTCTCACACCGATGCATCTCCACTCCCGCATCCTTCTCATTCAACATTCAATCTCCATTCATCCAATCATTCCCACACAATGCACGACTGTTACACACATGAGGACGTCCACAGAGCAGTCGCAGCACATAACACAAAACACCAGAGAGACGATAAAGTAAACAATCAACACAAATTACAAAAGCAGGAGATCACATCAATGTGCCAGATCGACGGCCATGCCCTCCGCATCAGTCGCGACGGGGTTCGCCAATCGGCAGGTAGACTAACATAATCCAATAATTGCACATGATAGCTTCAAACACAAATAATCACAGCTAGTTCATCGCAGATCATCGCAGTCACAGCTTTTTGAAGAGATTGGTAGCACGTAGGAACCTGAAAACCTAGTCAGTGATGTCCGGGTGTTGATCACCCAGAAGAGTTTTCAGGGTAAGTGGTACATCCAATTGAAGGCACTTCTGAACAATCGATTGTCGGTGAGTAGCATACACTGGGCACTCCACAAGTATATGTTTAACTGACTGGGGACACAAACATCGGTTACATTCAGGCCTGGGGTCTCTATCTATTATATGTCCGTGAGTGAATCGTGTATGTCCTATTCGCATGCGACATAACAAGATTTCCTCCCTGCGACTGGCGCGTTTACAAGATGACCATGATCCAACTTCATCCTTTATCAACTTCAAGTTGGTGTTTGAGTTATACTGCTGCCAGCACTGATTGAACAGGCGACGGACAGACAACCCAATATCGGGATAGTGCTCTTTGGGACCCATTTCAAGGACTACTATTTGACCCAGCGAGATAGCCTCCCTGGCCTGACGGTCAGCTAGCTCGTTCCCAGTGATGCTGCAGTGTCCAGGGATCCACAAAATAACAAGTTCGCGATCAGACAAAGTAATCAATCGATGACAGGTCTCCAAAATCTTCATGATAGTAGGATGGGAAGTGACCGGCCCACGAAGAGCAGTCAGCACGGACAGGGAGTCCGTGCAAATGACACATCTCATGATACCACTTTCCTCCACAAATAACAGTGCCCGTAGTATAGCGAATGCTTCCGCCGTAAATACAGAGCAGTTATTTGGCAGCTTAAACCTTTCACGTCGGTTTCCAAGTACATACGCACATCCAACACCATCATGGCTCTTTGATCCATCAGTAAAGCAGAAAGAGAACGTTGCATATCTCTCTCTGAGGTCATTAAACTGACATTGCACTTCAATATCAGATAAGTTTGCTTTTCTCTCATTTGTTAGTCGAATCAGATCACATTTCTGCAAGTGCCAAGGCGGGATGGTACCAGATAAGGACGTCAATTCGTTCGGCATATCAAAGTTTGTCTCAGCGCATATAGCCGAGAGCCTCTCATACACAGGGAAGCCTGCGATTCGCTTCAAATAATCACTATCAATGGCAGGCAGCGATGCACCGCGTGATATCAATTCAAGACATGGATGGTTGGGGTCACTCTTCACTCTCAAGCAGTACCGTAAGGTCAAATCGCACCGTCTTAATCTCAGAGGGGGTACGTCTGCTTCCACCATCAGAGGTAGTATGGGGGAGGTTCTAAGCGCGCCCGTAGCAATCCTCACGCATGCATTCTGGATGCTATCAAGCGACTCAACTGTTTTGTTTCGTGGACCATCCAGTATCTGGCATGCATAATCAAGTATTGGCCGTATCATTGATTTGTAAATTCGCAAAAGTATCGTTCTATCCGCTCCACAGTTCCCTCCGGCCAAACATCTTAGGATTGATATACGTTTAGTTGCCTTTCCCTTCACATATTTAATATGTTTGCTCAAATTCAGTCTCGTGTCGAGCAAAACCCCGAGAAACTTGACCTCCTCGGAGTAGCTCAAGTGCTCGTTGTAAAGTCTCAATCGGGGCACAGTGGCTAATTCCCTTGCTTTCATATATCGTCTGAATATAATGGCATTGCATTTGTGCGGTGAAAAAACAAAGCCCCATCTGTCAGCCCATGAACTAACATGGTCGAGAGCTAACTGCATTCGGTCAACTAATTGTGCAATTCTCCTTCCTTGCACCCACATGGTACAATCGTCAGCGTACAGCGCACATGTTGGGTTTCCGGGGACTCCATCAAATATGTCGTTTATCATGATGTTAAACAACACCGGAGAAATTACACCACCCTGTACCAAGCCATTGTCCTGTTCAAATGTATCGGAGAGGCAGCCATTTCTGACTTGAAAGGTTCGGTTATCAAGGTAGGATCGAATGAAGTGCATCATTCGCCCTCTGAAACCAAGTGCGTGCATCTTGGTCAGCAGGGCCGCCGTCGAAATAAGATTATACGCATTCTTAAAATCCAAGAATACAGCTAAAGTATACCGGTTGTAAAAGAAGCCCTGTCTAACATTGGACTCCAGTCGTAGTAAATGATCAGCTGTGCTCCGTCCCTTCCGAAATCCGCATTGAATGGCTGAAAGCATTCCTCCGTTTTCAATAAACCACGCCAGCCGTCTGGTAACCATTCGTTCCATGACCTTACTGAAGCATGATGTAAGCTGTATAGGTCGGTAAGATTCGGGTTGGTGACTTGGCTTCCCGGGTTTAAGGATCGGCACCATAATGGAATGTTTCCAAGTGTCGGGAAGACGCTCTGAAAGCCAAATGTAATTAATCAGCTTTAGGATCTGTGTCAATTGCTCATCATTAAGTTGCTTGAAAAACATGTAGTGAATCTTATCAGGCCCAACAGAGGTATTTCCACAATGGGAAACTGACCATCTCAATTCATCAATAGTAAACATGTCATTGTAGCACTCGTCGTTGTCGCTCGCAAACGATAGAAGCTGTTCGAGCAAAACACTCTCTCTTTCCCTAAAGGCAGCTCTATAATTAATGGACGCCGACATCCCCGAGAAGAAATTCCCGAGCACGTCAGCGACTTCTTTGGGATCGTCTGTCATATTGCCATTGATGCATAATACGGGCAATGGCCGCTGGTAGCGCTCCTTCTTTGTAAAACGCCGTATTATGTCCCATAGTTGTCGCATAGGGGTGGTATGTTTGAACATATGTAGCAGTTTCTCCCAAGAGTCCCGTTTTGCCTGTCTAATTATTCGCCTTGCTCTTGCTTTAGCAGCTTTATATTCCATGAGGTGTAAAGTTTGGTGGCTACGACGAAACCGGTTGAGTGCTCGTCGCCGGCTACGAATCGCCTCTTTACATTCCTCAGTCCACCATGGACAAGTGTACTTTGAGTTGTTCCGTTTCATAGGTACGCTATCCTCCGCAGCCCTCAGTAAGGCTTCGGTCATAGCTGTGCAGTTTTCCATTCCTATTCCTTCACAAAATCGTAAGTCGCACTTCTCAGTAAATTCAGACCAGTTGGCCTTATTAGTATTCCATCCCGTGAAATCTGTGTTCCGACAGGTGTCAGTTCCAGGCAGATCAAATGTTATGTATATTGGGCAATGATCACTGGAATATAGATCAGAGTCGGTACACCATTGCAGGTACTGACCTATATTACCCGTGCTCAATGTTAAATCAATATGGGACCATAGTCCAGAGTATTCATCGAGCCGTGTCGGGCTGCCATCGTTAAGAATATTCAGTGCGTGTTGACGAATAACTCGTTCCCATATGACTCCTCTCTGGTCACAACGATCTGCGCCCCACATGTAATGTCGGCTGTTAGCGTCTGTACATATAATAAAAGGTTGTGGCAGCTGGCTCACCAGACCACTGAGAACCTGCTGCGAAAGACGCTCGTTCGGCGGAAGGTACAACGAACAAATACACAGCCGACATCTGCCAGTTGGGACCGATATTGCAACAGCTTGTAGACAAGTATTCAGATTTATCTGACAATGGGGATGTTTATTGTTAACATAAATACTGACTCCTCCCTGTCTCCTGTCCGTATTGGGAAATGCGTTATAAAGAGTGTAATTATTAAGGCGGAAATCATAAGGATCATTAGGGAGAAAATGTGACTCTTGGATGCAAATCACATCTTTGCCTTTTTCCAGTAGCACAGGTTTAATCTCCGGCCATTTTCCAATCATTCCACGAGCATTCCATTGCATGATGGTAAAACTCCTCACACTATTAACCATAACGCTGTTTCTAACTAACTATTCGACGGAAAAGTACCCAGCACGGTCAAGGTCACCTTTGCGCTCGTTCTCGGCTCTGAGGTCGGGCTCACGCCGCGCCCCAGGACCGGGCCCACGCCTAGCCCCGGGGCCGGCCCGCCGACCTCGCGATAACATCGGGTCACGTGACCTGCCCCACTGCCCCGGGCGCCGGTCGAACCATCCCGGCTCCGACGGAACACGCCCGTTTCATCAGCCCCGCCGCCAAACCGACCCAAAAAAGGATCGCCTGGCAGACTGACGACGACCACCACAAAATCAAATATAACACATGAGATACTGAAACCAGACACCAGATGCAAATCAGGATAAGGAAATAAATAATACATAATCTGGGTACCGACTAAAACCTGCGACAAACGCAGGCAACTGTAATCACTGGAAATAATTGTTCGATATTTGCCAGAAAAAACCACAAACACAGAAATGATGCTTTTGCTGGGTATTGTCTAAGAGTTGGGGGGATGGGAATTGTTTTGCCAACACTGTTTGGACGAAGGAAGTCGCGAAGCACTTTGGGCCCGCTGCATTGGTTTGAGCCGACCACGTTCACCTCGCCCTGGGGCTCGAGTGAATCGAGTCAGCTCGGGGGACGGCGAAATCTCGTCATCTCCAGTCAGTGCTGGAAGCACAGGCATGTTGCCTCCCTTCTTTCCCTTGCCCTTCCTCACAGTTTGCCACTTCCCAATCTCCTTGTCAAAGCCAGTCACTGGTCTTTCATCTGAGTCGACATCACCATGTTTTTGAACCTCCATAGAATCACTCTCTGTCTCTATGCATGAAATCTCACCACTACTCTCTACACCCTGTGCACCGCTGTCAGTGATGCAGGCAGGCTCTGTCTCCTTGTCTGTGCCTTTGGGATCCAATTGTTTGCCCAGAACCTGCTTGAGCAAACCCACCAGCTCTGTCACTGCATCTTCAAGCTTACCCACCCTGGTTTTCAGTTCCTCCTCCTGTGGGGATGAACTCTGTGGTACCTTAAGGACCTCAGAATATGATTTTGTACTCTGTTTCTGTGCTTGTTCCTCAAATTTTTTCCTCGCCTCCCCAAAGGAAATGTCTTGTTCTACTTTCATTCTACATATTGCCCTCTCTTTGACCCATATCTCACACCTCCTATCCTGACAGGAGTGGCCACTCTTGCCACAGTTGATGCACTTTGGAGTGCACTCTCCCTCATGACTCGGTTCCCCACAGACAAGACACACACGATCATCCTTGCATGTCGTTTCAGAATGGCCAAATTTACCACATTTGTAACACATCATTGGATTTGGGATGTACTGGTCAACTTTGTAAGTGACATAGTCCAAAGAAATCCTAGAAGGGCAGGTGGGGGTATCAAAAGTTAGGAGTGTTGCTGTCCTTTCAGTGCGCCCATTGACCTTCCTTGTGAACCTTTTGACCTTTGTGACACCAAACTCTTTCAACCACCCAGCTACTTCCTCCTCAGACAGTTCCATCAGGTCGTGGGCCCGCACGATACCCCGGGAGGTGTTGAGCCGTTCATCCCTGATCACCTGACACTCCTCACCTGCAAACATTTGAACTTTCAGAAGCTTGGAAGTCTGAGACTCATTTTTTGTCCTCATCAGCAGCCCACCATCAGCCAAGAGGCTAGCTTTAGCCAACCTATCATCAGGTACCAGTATCCCTCTGATTCCGAGCTGAACCCAAGGCCATCCCTTTGATTTAAATGAAACATCAGATAACAACTTTACCTTCAAGAAAGACCCTGTGTTGTTGGACTCTCCTCCGTCAAAGAAAAACTCGTCAGGTCGCACCCGCTTTACGGGCCGCCTCCGATCCATCACTGCATCACCTCTTACTTCAAAGAAAGAACTTGCCTTGCAAACGAAACAGAAAATAGAAACCAATGAACCCAAACTCCAACACCCTCAGTAACGCGCGAGAGATCGCAGCTAAACTCGAGCTCCTCCTCCGCCGACGTCTCGCACACGAATGCCGTCCCAACCGCGTATTTTGAATTCACCATAGGGCTCAGCCACTCCTAGCGGAAAATTCTGTGGAATTCTCCCCCTGGCGACAAATGTGGGGAAATGAGCATAAATGTGTAAGTCCCTAGAAACTAATTCGTCCCAAGAAGTCCCCCACTACATTAGTGATGCAAGTTTGACTGGGGTATATTAGAGATGCAAATTACATGAAAAGATGTTATATTTTATGTTAAGATTGAGAAACCGTGCTTATAGTGGAAGGTATGTTAATGATGCAAACATATTAGCGAACTGGGAGTGGTCACTGGTCACCTGCTAATTTTGCGTCATTCCGCTAACGCTAGTTGAGCCAGTTATTGCTTGAAGCGTCATAACTTCGGTATAACTATACATCATTATTTGTTGGCTATTAACTGAGATCTGATTTCTTTATCTTTTAAAGAAGACTTAATATAAGAGAGATGGTAGCATCGTCTTGGTGTCATATCTGATCAAAGCGGCCATCCTCCAATGTCCCAACTTACCCCGCGGCGGGGGGTCAGTTGGGCCAGGGCCTAAGGCAAGTTGGTACACTAGGAAAAACAGTTTATCTAAACACATTTTTATTCATGTTTCACATGAACAATCATCGCTAATCCATGCGGGCATTAACGACAAAACACAAACGTTTGCAGTACTCCTGCGGCAAACAAAAAGGCACACACAACGACACTAGAAGAGAATATTTTCACAGCAAGAAAATCACTTTTGGTACCTGAAACACATTTGTAGCGATTATGAACAGCACTTACCTCAGCACGCGCCGACACCACGTTGACAAACAGACTGTGCATGTACTGTGCATGTACAAAATAAGTTTGAACGCCAACTGTCGAGAAGTATTGGAAATATTCCTTCCGTCCCAACTTACCCCCCCCCCCCCCCCTGGCACCAACTTGCCCCGGTCACCCCCACTTCACCTCTACCACTCAGCGCCCCAGGGGGCGGTTCTGGTCAACACAGGTGGCCAGGCTGTGGGGCGCCGCCGACCGCCTGGCGGAGGCTGCCACGTAGCCGTGCTCCCCGGTGCGCGCGGAGCGGCACGGCCGTCCAGCGGGCCAGCGAGCGCGACCCCGCACGTTGGTGCTGGTGCGACGGGCAGTGCTGGTCGGCTGGACCGGAATCTGGGTGGCGTTCCGCCGGCAGCCCTGCGCACCTCCAAACTGGTGCAGAGCGGACTGGCGGCCAGCAGTGGGCAGCTGGCCCCACCTCTGCTGGAAGGCAGCGGCAGCCCTCTCCCAGGTGTCGTCCTGGACGACTGCCTCGCACATGAAGGCTGCCCACTCCTGGATGAACGCCACGGTTTGGCGTGTCCGGTCATCTGAGCGTCGCTGCTCAGCTCCACTGACAGCCGCCGCCGCAGCGGCGGGGTCCTCGAAGTCCATTGCGTCGTCGTCGTACTCCTCGGGACCAGGCGACGGCTGGGGCTGCGCGACTCCGGGGGCGCTGGCGGGCGTGGGGCCAGGAGGTGACGAGGTGGACGGCTCGGCGACCAGAGGGTCAAACCAGTTGCCTGGCAGCTGCTGGCTGGTCCCCATGGCGATGTCCATCAAGGCCCTCCGCGTCTCCTTTGTCGCCGTCGCCTCCGGCACAGCGCCAGTCTGCTGCCGCACGGCTCGGAGGTGTTTGCAGCCGCCAGTCCGCCGGTTCATCCTGCAGGTGCAGGCGCCGACGTTCAGGTCCACCAGGTAGGTGATGCCGACCGACGTCAGCGACTTCACCTGATAGGTGAACTCCGTCACCTGTGGGAGGGGCAACACATAAAATCCTGTAAAATTCGTATGTACAGTCTGTCTTAAAAGTACCGCGCAAAGTGACGGTGGATCCATCAAGCCTTACTGAAGAAAGGCCTGCTTTACTTTGAAAGTCACCGAACCAATTGACCTGGGGAATGGACGAGAATATCAATTGCTTTGATGACTCAAATTGAGCAGGCCCTTCCTCGGTCAGGCTTGATGGATCCACCGTTGCTTTTTCGCGGACTTTTAAGACAGACTGTACAACATAAACTGACGGACGGTTACTTGTACGAAAATCCGAACCTGTTCATTCGCCCCAGTACTGTCAGCTTGGCCTTTTAAAACAGACCCCCAAAGGGAAAAAAGAAAAAACAAGAAAAAAAAAACGCGAAACGAGTCACGAGATGTGGCACACAGCGCCAACACCACGCGGCCCTACAGTGGCACAGCGGTACAGTGACAGACTCTTGTGTGTGAATGCACAGCCATGTGGTTTATTGGTGCTTAGGGGCGCGCCGATTGCATTGGTCACTTTGCACAGCCATGTGGCAGTACGGGTGGGACCAGCATTGGAAAACGAGCTGTCTTATGTGACCTCAATCAGTTCTCGTGTCATGCAAAATACCTGCGTCACAGTGCCCGTTTCTTGGCTGGTGCCGCCGCGGACCGGCGCAGTGCCGCCCGCTGCCGGCCGTTGGCCACGTCGCACGCCCTCCTGGCGTAGTGCTTGCTGAGCTGGACCGTGACGAAATCAAACAGCTGCAGCAGGTTGAACGCCCGAGTCCTGGAAAAACAGCGCGTGTCAAGCGAATATTTCAACAATTTCTTTGCAGCTATAATTAACGGTAGACTGCCAGCGTATGGACACAATAAGGCTTTCAGAAGAGCAACCAAAAGCACAACTAACAATTTCACAACCTACCCGAAATGCGAAAGTTTGTTTTTCTTCCACATGTAGGGTTAACAGAAATGTAAAACCGTGATATTCACAAGTTAATCCGTGTTAATCCATGAAAGTCACAAGTTAGTAATTAACGTCTTTGACGAAGGGATGTATGGTCCAATTCCGTTTCGGGGGCTTCAGGCTCTGAACTTTGGCAGACACTGGGGAGAATTGCACAGTCCTAGGGATTTTGATGGTGTTTTCGAGAACATTTTACCGGCTCACTCTCAGCCCTCCGACCTATATTGAAAGGAAAAACTACTCCCCTGCTTTGGCTTTTTTCCAATTATTTGTCTTTATTAATTGGAATTTGTCTGTAACTGCAACTTTGACATTTCTTCAACATTTGCCACTTTTGGGCAACCTTACAACTTGAAATATTTTAAAATAGTAATGAATCTATTGCAATACCTCCGGTCACCGAAACAGTTTTACAATCAACTTTAGTTAAAAGACAGGTTTGTCTATGAACGCCAGGTTAACTGTTTTATTTATTGAACCGCAATTAGGTGAAACATATGAATAAAGACTGACCTGTAGAGGACAGAGTCTTTGAGGACTCTGAAGGCGGACTCCACGATGTTGTTCGTGTTGTGTCCCCGGGTGGGGACATCCGTGCGGAGGCACAGCGCCCACTCTTGACGGCGGGCAGCGAAACCCTGCAGGTACTGGTCCAGCAGTGGGTAGCGCTCGCCCCACTCGGTAGCCACCAGCTCCATCGTCGTCGCTATCTCCGCCTCATTGTTGGCGTACACGAGCTGTTTGGCTAGTGCCATGATAGCCTGCCTGTGCTGGAAGAAAATGCACAATTTAACTGGTATCCGAGTGTGGGAGGCGGGAGGGGTGAAGGGTGAAGGGTGAAGGTAAATGTAAATATACGGGGTGTTTGAGATGAAATTAATCAAACTCATTTACGTTCTTTTACAGCCTTTAGACCAGTATCACTGCATGTATATTCCTGACTGCCAGCCTATGTCTGTCTATGCCTGACTGCCTGCCTCTGCCTGCCTCTGCCCAGCTGTCTGCCTGCCTCTCTCTCTCTCTCTCTCTCTCTCTCTCTCTCTCTCTCTCTCTCTCTCTCTCTCTCTCTCTCTCTCTCTCTCTCTCTCTCTCTCTCTCTCTCTCTCTCTCTCTCTCTCTCTCTCTCTCTCTCTCTCTCTCTCTCCTCTCTCTCTCTCTCTCTCTCTCTCTCTCTCTCTCTCTCTCTCTCCCTCCCTCTCTCTATGTCTCTGTCTCTTTCTGTGCCTCCCTCTCTCCCTCTCTCTCTCTCTCTCTCTCTCCCTCTCTCTCTCGCTCTCTCTCTGTGTTTCTCAAAAAGGGGTAATTAGACAAAAATGAACGGAAATTCATTCCCAGTAGAAACTACTCACTTGCTTGTCGATGCCATGTTTGCCGTTGTGAAGCCATCGCCAGACGGCCTGCAGCACGTGAAACGTGCACAGCAGGAGCCGCGCCTCAGGCCACACCGCCGACAGCGCGTTCCGCTCGGCCTGACAGTCGTCCGTCATGAAGCACAGAGGGCCGCGCCTTCCACGCCCGCCAAAGGCGCCTGTCAAAGAAGCATTCTCGGTCAAACACGATATTGGATTTTATACACCAATGCACAACTGACTGGACAATTCAGAGTTTAGCCGCCAGATATGGGAATTCATGGCAAATGTAGGTATATCGTACCGTCTGGTAAAATCCCGACGAGCAGCCGGAAGGCTTTGTCCACCACGGCCTCGGTCTCCGAGGTGGAGACGATGACACCGAGAGGCAGACCACCGGCCGGGCTCCAGCACATCAGCAGGAAGACGCGCTGGCCGTGCCGGTTCATCCCTCCTGAGGCGTCGACGAAGACCACCTCTCCCGCGTCGGGGAGCGTGTGGACGCGCTCCATCAGCGGCGTCACCGCCGCGATCACCGTCTCGCCGTCCTCGACTGAGACCGCCGTGCGGACGTCCTTCATGTGGCGGATGAGGTCCATGGTCTCCTCCTGGGTCGAGGCTGGGTAACGCTCCCGACAGTGCTTGTAGTACAGGCTGAAAACACATTGCATTGTCAATTGACTTCCAGCTGCAAGTGGTGGTCAGTTTCATTTTGTGATAAAATACCGATTGCATAACAGTGTACTTATGGTTAAGCTTCAGCTGTCCCACTTGTTCCTGATTCGTCCCAATCAAAATATAGCTTACCCCTCAGCGCATTGAATTACACAAATCCAAGGTGAAAATAATGTTAACCTGCGCTGGGCCGGAAGGGGGGCGTTTAGACGCCATTCCCCTTCAGGTTTTTCACGAATAGCAGGAAAACGGAAATGACCCTGACACATAGGCGTACGTAATATGATTATCGATAGCTTTTACTAAACCAGAGTGCATTTATCGCAGCGTAAAATGTTGCGAGTTTTTAGCACAACACAATTCATAGATAACAGTAGAACTGGATGTGACACGAAAACAGGCAGATTGCAATAGGGGACCCAAAAATTGTCAATGGCCAGATCAGTCTCGGATCGCAACCACATATCCCAGACATGCGGCCTTCTTTTCTGAGTAGCCCTATCATCTCTGCTCCGTGTAACGATCAATTGCATCTCATATATGAGAATCATGTGTAACTTTATAGGGAAAGTCTAATTATTTCAGATACTGTCCCTACAGACTTGCTAACTTGTGGCAGTGTGGCTTTGCATCAAGCTGTTAAAAACTTACTAGTAGACGGCCATCCTATCTGGGACAATGGCTCGGTCTGCGGCCACCGACGGGTAGGCGCTCCCATGCTCCTCCTGAAGCTGTAGTTTCAGGGTCTCCAGCGCCGTGGAGGGCGAGTGGTGGTGCTGGAACAGCTCCATCAGCCGGGCCTTCGTCAGCTCAGAGACGCGTCGATGTCTCAGAGCGGCAGCGTTGTCCACGGCGTGGTTGTGGGGCTTCTTGTTACATGTCACCCGTAGCTCGTAAGCCGCGCATGGGTCTGTAGACCTATTCCTGGAAAGGGAGGATTCGTCAACAAATATAAAAAACACGAGACGATGGTGTTATTCAGAAGAAATTCCGCTCCTTCCACGCACTTTTATAAGGTACCAGCAAGAAACCTTTTGAGGCAAGGAACGAGCGAGGTGAAATGTTTCGGATTATCACCGTTTTTAGTTTTCTGAGCCAAGATTGGCACAACTAAGAAAGATAGCGACTTGAAATCTTTTCGGCAGCGAACTCCTTCATCAAATATGTAGTTTTTTTTTCAATTGCGGTTGATCGTTTGATCAACTAAGGCGTTTGTAAAAAGCAGGGCTGCGGAGTCGGAGTCGGAGTCAACAGTTTTGGTCGGAGTCGGAGTCGATCTTTTTTCTTGGCCAGAGTCGATAAGATTTTACCGACTCCGGCCATGTAGTCCGAAAATCGCCTTTCATCAAGTGAAATTGTTGTCTGGTGAAAGCAAAATGGCAATTATCCCGATGATCCAAAGTGGTCAGACAACAAAATCGACCTACGATTTTGATCAGCCTTTTCTTTTCTCCCGAAGTTCACGTCTCTGCACTGGTTCGGTGAACCAAAGGGCCAAATAAATGCTTTCCAGAACTAATAGGTCGGAGTCGGAGTCAGAGTCGATTTTGTGAGGCCGGAGTCGGAGTCGGAGTTGGCTAAAGTTGGGTCGACTCCGCAGCCCTGGTAAAAGGTGCCAATGACAAAAGACGGTGAGAAACTTGCCGTTTTGGAGTGTTGGCGACAGTCACTTTCAGGCGCAGGGGGCACCCGGTGTCCTTGGCGGATTGGTTTTTCCTCGGACGACTCGGCTTTTCTGGGACGTCGTGGTGACAACGAAGCCTGGCCTGAAAAAAAATTGACAACATTAACAAAAGTGATGAAATCAATTGCCACTCATTAGTCCGTCATTTAAATGAGGATGAAAGTTTCTCGATTTAAAAACGTTACCTTTTTAACTGACCCTGATCATGGTGTTTCATTAACCCGCACCTTCCTGCGATATAAAAGAGTAAAAGTTACTGGGTGCAGTGGCGCACCCAGGGAGGAGTCAGGGGGACAAAGGGGTCAGCTGACCCTCCCGAAATCTAGCGGGCCCGCTGGTAGGTGCCCGTCCAGTCCTCCGAGACACCCGGTATGACGGCTGGATGACTGGTCCTCAGTACGCGGCATCAAGCTGGGGATTCATGCAGCGAGCCCAGGCCGCCGGGCCCTCTGTCAGTAGACCCCGACAGGCTTTCATACGGCGGGTCTTTGCTGAACCCTCAGGAGGCTCTGCACCAGCAGAATTTTCCATTGGCGGGCACAGGTCGAGTGCTCGGGCAAAAGTACCCCCCTGCCGAGCTTTACACGGCGAGCCCAAACTGGTATTTCATAAACTAAAGCTCTCACCCAGTACACCACCCTTTGGCCATTCGACATGGAGTCGTACGTCGTCAGGGGGATGTTGGCGGCCTCTTGGTACAGCTGAATCCACTGCAGGGCCGATTCCTTTGACGCCGGACATCGGTAGGCCACAGTGGTGCCCTCCATCAACTCCTGAAACGAAATAATGCAAGGTCTCACTGGGGTATTCTTGTCTGGGACCAATGCACGATCGTATTACCGTAATAGTCAGCTATAATGCAGATGACAAATACTTAGTGACAAGACGCGTTATATTCAAATACAGATCACCGCACACACCACTCATACCAATAATATTGTCATTCACAATTGATAAAACTTTGTTACCGAAGCCTGTGGGGAAAGTTGATAGTTCCATTTTAAAAATGGAAGTTTTCATTTATAAAATGATTGCAACATGGCTCAAACCAATTACATATAATATGTGTTACTGCAAATTGAAATTGCCATCATCAGCAATTGCTATTGCTTTAAGCAAATTGCTATATTTGATGCTCACCGGTTCCAGGTCAGGAATCATATCAAGCTTCTCGCACAAGATGTACTTGGCATCAGCCTTCCAGATTACTTGGAAGTGATCCTGTTGGAAGAAGGAATGTTCCATAAAGTTGGTGGCGGACTTGTACCTATTCAATATTTAATATCAATATAGTAACAATGGTTACACGACTCATAATCTTCACTTACAGCATTTTTTAAAAATTATGTAAAGATTATAATTCTGCTGGTGATACCTATAGCCATGTGGGTAAATGTCAAGTTTAAGTCCTAAGCAGATTTCATGGATATTTTTTTTTCATATTCTTACATTATTTGGCCGATACACATGGAGGTCCCCGCTTCAAAATTAGTTAATTTTGAATTTAGTGTTTCCGACCATTATTTGACATCCTGAATCCAAAAATGATACTTATATGTCTCGTAACTAAAAGAAAAACATAATCAAACCTGAACTAACCTTACCTTTTCACCTATAACCTACCAATCTACTACCTACAAACCTACAATGCAACCTAAAACTTACAACCTAACGTAACCTAAAACATAATTTTTTTGCTGTTACAGATTTGTATCAACAGCGTCACAGTTATAGTTAGGACCTAAAGTTGACATATACCTGTATTTCTTGCGCCCTAACCCACAACAACAGCAACAACAACTGTATTTCTTGCAAAGAACATGCACCTAAAATGGAAATACTTATTAATCACCAACCTTTTCCAGCATCTTGAAGCATATATAGGCCTCCGCAATAAACGAGCAAACATGAGACACGAAAAAGGCGCTTTGGATTAAAAGGCGCGCCAGTGGCATCGGAAGAGCTGCCAGATCGGCTGAAATCCCTAGCGCGATTTCGCTTTTTTCCAAGGTGCCTAGAATTCCTCTAGGAATGGCTGAGCCCTATGGTGAATTCAAAATACGCGTCCCAACCAGTGATGCCATCCACATTTTTGCTCCATCCCAAGATCTCGACCAGAATTTCCCAAGATTCTCGTCTCAAATCCCAAGACTACCCATCGAATATCCTTAGGAGTACCCCAAGTAAATCCATAGCTTATTTTGGACATATTAGTGTGTTTAGTATTCAACTTTCTCTTCTTCGGGTCCACCCTTGTCCTTATTGGCGTATTTACAGCAGCTAATGTACCTAGAGGCCGGGGGGAGGGGAGGGGGAGGGGGTCGATCGGACTCCTACAGCTGATCGGTTCCTGACCGAGTATAAGAGCTTCACGAAAAATGAAGATGCTGGCCTAGACAACATGAAGCCGGTGGTATCTGATATTATGGTCAGGTCATTCGTCGACCGTCAATGGTGGGTCAAGGACTTAAAACACATAGTCCGAATCTGTTAGAACTTCTTGGAAACGAAGTCTGTGGCATTTTGGATTTATTTCAAAATTTGTCTCGTGACACATTTGGAGAAGCTAGGGTCAGGTGAGGTCAGGCTGATTTTAAGTGTTTTTCACCACTGAGTTTTGAAATATGGGCTCCAAAACAAGCTCTTAAAAGCTTATGTGAATCCTGAAATCGAAAAGCCTATGCTGTGAATCTGCGCGTAAGCCAGTGCCCGCTGGGGCCCATGAATTTTCAAGCCGGCGATGGCGAGGGGGTCTAAACGAGGACCTAACTCGTCCTGGACTATATAGTTACAAGACGTCAGCAGTGTTGTCAAGGTCGCAATGTTACGCTTTGATTATTTTTGGTCCAGCAGAGTCCAGGGCCCTGTTTCACCGGTGATAGCAGCACGCTGCTATCAAATTGCGCGAGCTGACGTAATGTGATGACGTCATACTGCTGACGTAAGGGGCAATTCTGGCGCACGATTGCCGCAATATTGTTTTACGTCATCAGCTAAATGTTCGGAGTTAATGTCCAAATTTTTCCTAAACCCAACTTCTTTTAAATACATCATATTGAAAAAATATATATCAAAAATATATATACTATCATGACTGCGTAAACTCTTACTTTTAGGCTCATACGTCACTTAATGCCGCCGCCAAGGTCGCGGCAGTCGTGCGCCGGAACTACCCATTACGACAACAGTATGGCGTCACGACATGACGTCAGCTCGCGAAACGTGATAGCAGCTTGCTGCTATCACCGGTGAAACAGGGCCCAGAGGTCAGGTGACCAGACACTTTTCCGAGGTCAAAGACAAATTGCCCTTATTTTGGTTCGCGGTCAACGGATGAGCCTCCATAGAGCAAAACCGTAAAATGAAACGCTTTGTGCGGGAGCCGCTTTCTGAAATGTTTTTTAGGCATAATGTTTGTAAAAGCTTTTCATAGCCACCCAACATCATGGACGCCGGTGAAACAGGGCGCCGGAGGGCATATTAGTCACGTGACATTTGTAGCTTCTCCCCCTTCGTGTGCCTTCTACAATCTACATGCTAAACGTCACGTGTAAATTTCACGAACCTTGATCAAATCGCCCCAAGCGCCCTGTTTTCACCGTCGTCCATCATGCCGCCAAACCACCCATCCCCGTTGATCGGTAGTTGGAAATTAAACAAATGAGCGCCAGTTGCGAACAGCGACTGAAAGCTGCTACTATACCCATAACAAGTAATGGTACAAAAATAATCCTGCGATCTCGGGAAGATAATGCCGGCTAGAAACATCGCAAGCTTCGTCCGTTACTTCAATATGTTTGATTAACCGTCCGTAGTGCAAATCCATCCTAAATCTATTATCGACCAAGGAAAAAGCATTCGACAGCATGAGAAGACAAAGTGAAATCAGCTTCTGCCAGATCCCAAGATATGCAGTGCAAAATGTCCGTCAAGACAGCCCATATTCAGCCCAGATTCAGCCCGGATTCAGCCCAGATTCGGGACACCTCCGATCAAGCTGAAACTCGCACACAATGTAGGCCATGACATGCCCAATCCACAGTCCAAGTCATTCGGTGGCACTCCCAGCCGTTTGACCTACAGAGGTCAGCAAAGGTCACGTGGCCCAAATTTGCACAGCAGATTGTGGCCCACCCAGTAGAGCTAGAGCGCTAAAAATGGCACCAATCGACTCGCCAGCATCTAATCTTACTTTCCTAGCCCTCATTTGACCTTTCAAGGTCATGCGATGACCTAAGGTCATTTGTGGGCTATGTCGAAAATACACTTGCACAGCAGTTTTCGAGTAGATGGATTGACCGAATTCCAAATCAAAGCACATCATCGGGTAGCCCATAGGCCGTAGTAACTTTCCTTAAAAACCGCTTTTCGATATGTGACCCCGTTTGACCTCGGCAGGTCAAAATGTGCAAACAAACGACACTCAATACGTCGCAGCCCGAATTCAGCCCAGATTCGGGACACCTCCGATCAAGCTGAAACTCGCACACAATGTAGGCCATGACATGCCCAATCCACAGTCCAAGTCATTCGGTGGCACTCCCAGCCGTTTGACCTATAGAGGTCAGCAAAGGTCACGTGGCCCAAATTTGCACAGCAGATTGTGGCCCACCCAGTAGAGCTAGAGCGCTAAAAATGGCACCAATCGACTCGCCAGCATCTAATCTTACTTTCCCAACCCTCATTTGACCTCTCAAGGTCATGCGATGACCTAAGGTCATTTGTGGGCTATGTCGAAAATACACTTGCACAGCAGTTTTCGAGTAGATGGATTGACCGAATTCCAAACCAAAGCACATCATCGGGTAGCTCATAGGCCGTAGTAACTTTCCTTAAAAACCGCTTTTCGATATGTGACCCCGTTTGACCTCGGCAGGTCAAAATGTGCAAACAAACGACACTCAATACGTCGCAGCCCGAATTCAGCCCAGATTCGGGACACCTCCGATCAAGCTGAAACTCGCACACAATGTAGGCCATGACATGCCCAATCCACAGTCCAAGTCATTCGGTGGCACTCTCAGCCGTTTGACCTAGAGAGGTCAGCAAAGGTCACGTGGCCCAAATTTGCACAGCAGATTGTGGCCCACCCAGTAGTGCTAGAGCGCTAAAAATGGCACCAATCGACTCGCCAGCATCTAATCTTACTTTCCCAACACTCATTTGACCTCTCAAGGTCATGCGATGACCTAAGGTCATTTGTGGGCTATGTCGAAAATACACTTGCACAGCAGTTTTCGAGTAGATGGATTGACCGAATTCCAAACCAAAGCACATCATCGGGTAGCCCATAAGCCGTAATAACTTTCCTTAAAAACCGCTTTTCGATATGTGACCCCGTTTGACCTCGGCAGGTCAAAATGTGCAAATAAACGACACTCAATACGTCGCAGCCCGGATTCAGCCCAGATTCGGGACACCTCTGATCAAGCTGAAACTCGCACACAATGTAGGCCATGACATGCCCAATCCACAGTCCAAGTCATTCGGTGGCACTCCCAGCCGTTTGACCTACAGAGGTCAGCAAAGGTCACGTGGCCCAAATTTGCACAGCAGATTGTGGCCCACCCAGTAGAGCTAGAGCGCTAAAAATGGCACCAATCGACTCGCCAGCATCTAATCTTACTTTCCCAACCCTCATTTGACCTCTCAAGGTCATGCGATGACCTAAGGTCATTTGTGGGCTATGTCGAAAATACACTTGCACAGCAGTTTTCGAGTAGATGGATTGACCGAATTCCAAATCAAAGCACGTCATCGGGTAGCCCATAGGCCGTAGTAACTTTCCTTAAAAACCGCTTTTCGATATGTGACCCCGTTTGACCTCGGCAGGTCAAAATGTGCAAATAAACGACACTCAATACGTCGCAGCCCGGATTCAGCCCAGATTCGGGACACCTCCGATCAAGCTGAAACTCGCACACAATGTAGGCCATGACATGCCCAATCCACAGTCCAAGTCATTCGGTGGCACTCCCAGCCGTTTGACCTATAGAGGTCAGCAAAGGTCACGTGGCCCAAATTTGCACAGCAGATTGTGGCCCACCCAGTAGAGCTAGAGCGCTAAAAATGGCACCAATCGACTCGCCAGCATCTAATCTTACTTTCCCAACCCTCATTTGACCTCTCAAGGTCATGCGATGACCTAAGGTCATTTGTGGGCTATGTCGAAAATACAATTGCACAGCAGTTTTCGAGTAGATGGATTGACCGAATTCCAAAACAAAGCACATCATCGGGTAGCTCATAGGCCGTAGTAACTTTCCTTAAAAACCGCTTTTCGATATGTGATCCCGTTTGACCTCGGCAGGTCAAAATGTGCAAACAAACGACACTCAATACGTCGCAGCCCGAATTCAGCCCAGATTCGGGACACCTCCGATCAAGCTGAAACTCGCACACAATGTAGGCCATGACATGCCCAATCCACAGTCCAAGTCATTCGGTGGCACTCTCAGCCGTTTGACCTAGAGAGGTCAGCAAAGGTCACGTGGCCCAAATTTGCACAGCAGATTGTGGCCCACCCAGTAATGCTAGAGCGCTAAAAATGGCACCAATCGACTCGCCAGCATCTAATCTTACTTTCCCAACACTCATTTAACTTCTCAAGGTCATGCGATGACCTAAGGTCATTTGTGGGCTATGTCGAAAATACACTTGCACAGCAGTTTTCGAGTAGATGGATTGACCGAATTCCAAAACAAAGCACATCATCGGGTAGCCCATAAGCCGTAATAACTTTCCTTAAAAACCGCTTTTCGATATGTGACCCCGTTTGACCTCGGCAGGTCAAAATGTGCAAATAAACGACACTCAATACGTCGCAGCCCCGATTCAGCCCAGATTCGGGACACCTCCGATCAAGCTGACCTTGAGCTGACCTCATGACCTTGAGAGGTCAAATGAGGGTTGAGAAAGTAAGATTAGATGCTGGCGAGTCGATTGGTGCCATTTTTAGCGCTCTAGCTCTACTGGGTGGGCCACAATCTGCTGTGCAAATTTGGGCCACGTGACCTTTGCTGACCTCTCTAGGTCAAATGGCTTGGAGTGCCACCGAATGACTTGGACTGTGGATTGGGCATGTTATGGCCTACATTGTGTGCGAGTTTCAGCTTGATCGGAGGTGTCCCGAATCTGGGCTGAATCCGGGCTGTGACGTATTGAGTGTCGTTTATTTGCACATTTTGACCTGCCGATGTCAAACGGGGTCACATATCGAAAAGCGGTTTTTAAGGAAAGTTACTACGGCCTATGGGCTACCTGATGATGTGCTTTGATTTGGAATTCGGTCAATCCATCTACTCGAAAACTGCTGTGCAAGTGTATTTTCGACATAGCCCACAAATGACCTTAGGTCATCGCATGACCTTGAGAGGTCAAATGAGGGTTGGGAAAGTAAGATTAGATGCTGGCGAGTCGATTGGTGCCATTTTTAGCGTTCTAGCTCTACTGGGTTGGCCACAATCTGCTGTGCAAATTTGGGCCACGTGACATTTGCTGACCTCTCTAGGTCAAACGGCTGGGAGTGCCACCAAATGACTTTGACTGTGGATTGGGCATGTCATGGCCTACATTGTGTGCGAGTTTCAGCTTGATCGGAGGTGTCCCGAATCTGGGCTGAATCCGGGCTGCGACGTATTGAGTGTCGTGTATTTGCACATTTTGACCTGCCGAGGTCAAACGGGGTCACATATCGAAAAGCGGTTTTTAAGGAAAGTTACTACGGCCTATGGGCTACCCGGTGATGTGCTTTGATTTGGAATTCGGTCAATCCATCTACTCGAAAACTGCTGTGCAAGTGTATTTTCGACATAGCCCACAAATGACCTT